TATATAAGGACATTTATATTTTTCTCACTTAAAAGAAAAATAAAATCCAAAATTCAGAGCATTCAATGGTTTGAAAATGTGCTGTTTTGTTATGGTGGTGGTTATGATTATTTTATATCTAATGTGAATACAGTTGATTAAATGTCTTACCCTTCAGTAGACAATTAAGAAAGATTTTTCAACTTTTTCTCTCCCTGGAAGCTTAGAAATATAAAGGTGCAGATGTATTTTTATGGTTATCTTTTATTTAAAGAAGACGTTAAGAACATAATTAGCACATTTGAATAATTCCTCAAAGAAATCCATTCTTCTGGAACTAGAAAAACAAACCTTCATTTTGCAGCTAGGAAATGAGCTAAGTCTGCAGTTTCACACACAGCAACAAGGCTCAATGCTCTATCCATAAAACTTTCTTTCTTGCCTGGTAATTTATGGTAGACACTGCAAATTGCCCACTCAATATTCAGTCTCCTTTCCTACAAAGACAGCCCTACTGCCATCAGAAGTAACCAAGTAAAACCTACATTTATCAACATCTACTGAAGTCAGTTTGGGTCAATGAAATGCTGGCGGAATCAAGAAATGTTGGTGTGCGCCTTATCATTCTTCTTATTTTCTCTTTCTTCTTGCCTGGAATGTGGATGTGATTACTGAGGCTGTTGTAACCGTCCTACAGGAGCCAGATATAAGGGCATATGCTAAGGGCAGCAAAGCACTAGGAGCGAAGGAGCCTGGGTCAGTGATAGCACAGCAGATCCATCACAAAAGTCTTGATCTGCTCACTATTTTCAATAAGAAAAAAATAAACCCTTGATTTGTTTTAGCTGCAGTTAGTCAGTTTTCTCCCAATTGAATGAATTTCCTATGCAAAAAAAGTGTCTCAGTGCCGTTCTTCAGTAAGTCAAAATGATTAGGAAAACAATATTTCCTATCAATTATTTATATCATCTCTCTTCTGAGAGTTTGCTACTTGGAATAGAAAACCCGCCAGTTAGTCCTGACCTTTTGCTCTTTACCTGTCCTCTTCCAGGTATTTTTTTTTTTTTTTTGCTTTTGCTTTGGTTTTTTATCTCTTTACAACAACAACAACAAATTTTTCCCAACAGTCTGAGCCTTCCGATCTTTGTTGTGATTATGTATTCCTCTGATGCTCCATAAAATCAGTCTCATTTCTCAACTACATTTAACGCCAGAGGATTTTATTTGTTTTTATTGTTTTGTACTTAAAGCAGAACATTCTGGGCTGCCTTACATAAAGCTCAGATTTATATCTGACAAATTGTCCAAGCACTGTCCAAGACAAGGGATCTTTCTGCGCTGATTCAGAAGCAACACTCCTCCATAGGGTGTCTGGCATGGTGTTCCTGGTTATAAGGATGAGTTCCCTACCACTGAATTTTGCTAAACACATTTAGCATCTCTATTCCACTAAAAAGACTTTATGGAGAGAGTTTAACATAAAAAACATTGTGATTGGTGATGGTACAAAGATGGCACTTACCCAATAATCAAGATGTTTAATAGTGATAAGGTAATATATTGAAATGTTCGTTTGTCTGTACTGTCTCTTTCTTTTCTATCCATGCCCCTCAACCGAATACCAAAGGTCTTCTAAAATTTTAGTGGGAGGAGGGTTTCCCTGTAGTAAATAGAAGCATTCTGTTTCTATTCTGCTACTCTGCTGCTCACTTCCTGCTAGAAGTTAGAAGTACTTCCTGTATTTTATAGGGGCATGTTAGTCAGCTTTCTGTTACTGTAAAAAATTACCTAAGACAATCAAGTTAAAAAGAATAAAGTTTCACTTTGACTCACAGTTTTGGTCAATGGTTGATTGGTTCTATTGTTTGGAGTCCATGGCTATACATTATTGCCAATTAAATGGTAAGGAAGCTGTTCCCTTCATAGTAGCCAGGTGGCAAAGCAAACGGAAGAGTCAAGGCTCCAATATTCCCTTCAAGGACACATGCCCAATGACCCAAGCATCTCCCATTAGGTCCCTTCTCTTAACAGTTCCGCCACTCCCAGTAGTGCTACACTGCAGAACAAGAATTCACACCTGGGCCTTTTAGAGAACAATCCAGATCCAAACTACAGCAAGGGGCTTAGGTGACTCAAGATTAGACATGTGTCATGAAGGAAGGGGATAAAGGAATTAGCCTTTGAAGGCTTCAGAATGCTGGGGTTGATGGGCAGGGGGTGGGGGGTATTCCTAACTGATGAGGTGGAGATGACTTGTAGACTTTGAAATAAACCTTCAGTATTTTAGTATGCACTGTGTTGCACCTGACCAAAGTCATTCCTTATTAAAGTCCCATGCTGGGTGTTATTGTCTCAGAACTCAGAGTCCTGTCTTTGTTAACTTGCTTCCATAATGGCAATTCTTGCAGTAGAACACTACTGAAATAAATGATGCAGATGAACAGGTATACGTTTACGGAAGCTGGCAATTTAACATATAGTAGTACCCATGGTGATAAACTACATTCTGAGGTAGCAGAAATCTGTGTCTCATTCTGAGGTTTCTAGCCCACTGACAAGATGGCAAATAGATGCATTTGTCATAAAATGTAATTTGTATGCTGATGAGAAATGAGAGTTTTGAGATGGGGGGGGGTGGCAGGGAGAGAGAGGGAGAGAGATATGAGAGAAACCAACCAGTCTTGCCTAGCAATGTTTTTAAATGGTTAAATTAAATGAACTAAAATGAATTAAAATAGAGCAGACTCAATTTGTGTAAAAAGGCTAATTGAATCTGTCCTATGAATGAGAGAACAAGAAAAAGAATGAAGAAAAATAATGCCCTGGAATCCACACACAATGCTTATTCAATTGAACATACATTAAGTACAATATATGTGCATAAATGTGTGATTGTGTTTTATTTAACAAGGGCAGTTCTACTTAGACTCATTTCCAGTGTCACGTATTTTACTTTAGGTTTTGTTACTAACAATTCATAATTCACAATTAGAATTGGAAATGAAATTAAATATGATTTGGGACAAGTCCTTCTTGTTGGGTTCCAAGTCAACATGCACTGGGTTTGTTGGCGGAGTCTGGGAACATTGGCTCCTTGAGTCTCAGGGCTGCCTGGTGTTCACCCAACATCAACTTCTCCCAGCCACTCCTTGGTAACGGTGACCAATATCTTACAATATCAACTGGATGGTGGCAGGGTTCTTTTGAGTACAGAAACCAGCGAAGGGATTAGAAAACATTAAAAAAAAAAAAAAAACACCTCAAATATGACAGCATTTTTTGAGGTTTTCTAGGCCTTCTGGAATTTCCCTTGGAATTTTATACAAATCATGACCAGCATTTCCTGGGTGAGAGTTCAACAGGACACGTGGCAAAAAGCCTAGTTAAATCATGCAATTTGAAACCATTCTGTAGACAGCTTGTACTTCGGAGCCAAATAGGTTTCCATCATTAAAATAAAGCAATAATAATAATAACAAAATAAAAATCTCAGCACCTTGCATGAAAGAAATTAAAGTTATGTTTATCAAGAAAGATCTAGAATTTTTGCATTACAGTATCAGATAAAAAGAAACTTGGGAGCATAATTTAAAACTTGATTAGTGCCACAGCTTGTTCTTAGAGAGTAAAAACAGGCCACATTGTAGAGAACAACAACAACAACACAAAAAAAAAAAAAACAATGTGAAGGCCTTAAACTAGAAGGAAACCCCTAGAAGTTTCAAGAGTTCATTAAAATTTCCTGAGTGGTCAACTCATTCTTTTAGAAAGGCCACACTTGAAATGGTGCTCTGAAAACTTCAATGTTCCATTCTAACATCAAATAATACATAAGTTATGTGTAATTTTAAAGGGTATAAGATGCCTCAGAGTGTGTTGTTTTACTAGCTCTCAAGGGAAAGACCAAAAATAATTAATCTAGCAATTTTAGATCCAAGGTTGTAACTGGCATTTCCAAGTTTCAACAAAGAGGCTTATTTTTAATATAGTTGAATCAATCGTTGGATATTGGTGAGGGTGGGGTGCCAGGGGTGAAGGGTGGGAGGGCAATGGGAAGAAGCAGCAGAAACCCTTTAATGCTATGGGACTATCACCCTTTGTTGTCCCTGTGCAGGGAACGGCCCGTGTTTAACTGTCCCTACATTTTCTTACATTTCAGTCACTTGAGTTGGAGGTTGATGATTAAACTTATGTGAATTATTCTCTTTGAAAAATAAAGGGATCTCTAAATTATTCCATCTTGGCAGTCACATCAAAGGCAGAAAGTATTCAACAGAAAGATGCCCAAGGTAATGTCTAAACTAAGCTTTCATTTAGGGAGGTGGGAATGTCATGCTATGGGCGGGGCAGGACAAGGTAAAGGTCTGATCCTAAGCCACCTCTCTGGTTCCCCCTTTGAGCACAGTATCTACGGAACTTGTCTTCCCTTTCTTATTACATATGACTTGCTTTCTTTGAGATATTTTATTTGTTCCCACCCAAATCCTTTCTTTTAGTAAATTAAATAATTTACCTGCCTGCCCCTTCTCCCCAGATCCTTAGAATTTAATCCAATTGAGTAAATCTAGTGTTGGGGATGATCTTGAATCTTCAAGTGTGGTGATGATCCATATTTTAACTGGATAGATTTCTGCTCTAATTTTTCTGCTTTGTAGAAGGATTCACAATCCAATATGTGGGAGTACTACTCGATAAGTACATAAATACAGCAACATGAAAGCAGACCACAATCCTCCAGTTTCTGAGTGCCCATTTCCATTTGGGCTTTTAATCTCTTTAGATCTAGTGCTGAGTTGTGGAGAAAATTCAATATCCAATGTGATATTCTTTGCCTCAGAAGATATTTCCTTATTTGCATGGAATTTTCCCCCCTCAGGTATATTTTTCTCCTCCTGGTATACTCTAGTTTTTTTTACACTATTATGAGAACGATGACCTCATTCTCTCCGGTTGATAATAATGGCACACTTTTTATAACTTGAAAAGGCATCTGTTTATTGATATGAAAGTTAAAATTAACTGTAACACAGGACTTAGCCATTGCATACCTTGTCTTATCTTGTGGCGCAAAATAAATTGGATGGAAAACATGTGAAGCTTGTGATTATTTAAATCTTTATAAATGATAATCTGTGTTCCAGGAGAGACCTTTGTCTTCTCTTTTCGCTTTATTTCACAGCTAAGTAATTAAACAAAGAACGCTGTATTGATGAGTTGTGCAGATATACATTAAAATAGTGAGACTACAAAAGCCCCATAATGAAGAGGTGACATTTAATTCACAGTCTTAACATATGATAGGTTAATAAAAATGTGAAAATTAGCAAGCTGACCTTTCTCTTTGGAAGTAGCACACATCTTCCACATAGGTGCACACTCTGATTGCATTTTCTATGGGCTCTGATTCTGCTCAGAAGTCACAGAAATACCACTAAAACTGACTAAAGATTCAATTCTGAACAAAAAGAATGATAAATGAATTTTAGGAGCCTGGCAAGATAAGAAACCTAAAACTGAAGAATTATAATAATCTTATACAGTGACACTATTATTTCTAAACCAATGTATGCAATAATTTCTTTTTTATTTGTTCTTTTTAAATATACATGACATTAAAATGTATTTTGACATATTATACATACATGAAATCATAACTTTTATTAATTAGGTTCCCATTCTTGCAGTCGGACATGATGTAGAGTTTTGCTGGTGGTCATGTGGAGTTTCACTGGTGTCATATCTTTTTATACAAACAGATAAGGAGGAAGTATATTTAAAATGTGGTCCTTTGGTTTATGAATTAAAGGTGCTAGTGTGGTGGATTAAATTCATCACTTGCACTTGCCGATTCACCTGTCTCTCCAACAGAATTAAAATATCCTTATAGGGCTATATATTATTTTTATCTCTTTTTCCCAACCTCAATACCTGACATATTACTTGGCATGCAGAGGCACTCAGTATAAAGGTTTATTGTTATTCAGATTCTACATATTGTTGAAAGAAGGTAAGCCATAATTTCTAATCTGGCCCACTTTTTTTTTTAACAAATGTTTAATAGGATTGGGGCCCAGCTCAGTGGCCAAGTATTTGCATAGTGTAGACAAAGCCCTGGTTCAATCTTCAGCACAAAAAAAAAAAAAAAAAAAAAAAAAAGAAAGAAAGAAAGAAAAATAAAGTATCTAATACTATGCTTCTCCAATGTAAAAATAGACCAAGCATTTAGTTTGGTCATCATGAAACACATGAAAGTAACAGCTAATTATTGCTATTCCAAACCTTTTCTCTATTCACTATTCTCTATCTCACCTCCCACTGGTTTGGTTGCAGGGCCTTGGCACTCGCAGGGATGAGCGGGTAGGTAGAGGAACACACTGGTCCCCTGATTATAGTGGGCTGTAAGAGTCTTAGGGGTTCAGAGAAGGTGCTAAATGTGAATTTTACCAGCTGACAGTTGTAAAATGTCCAGGCTTATTCATCTGTTCCAGAAGGTTTCAGGTGTAACTAAGCAGGGAAGACAACCCTTTGCTGCCTTCAGTGTAGAGGAAACAGGAGTGAGACCTGAGGGTGAGAAAAAGGAGGAAGCAGCAGTAGATTCTCTAAGCTCCCCACTAGGGGAAAAAAAAAAAAAAACACTCATTCAAGAAATATTATTCCTTGCATATTACATGTGAGACACTGTTAAAGCCCCTTTTAGATATTTGTTTTTCTTTGGGGGGGGCAGTACTGGGGATTGAACTCAAGTGTACTCCACCACTGAGCCACATCCCCAGCCCTAATTTTTATTTTGTTTAGAGACAGGGTCTCACTGAGTTGCTTAGCGCCTCTCTTTTGCTGAAGCTGGCTTTGAACTCGAGATCCTCTTGCCTCAGCCTCCTGAGCTGCAGGGAGTACAGGCGTGCACCACTTCACCCAGCCTTGTTAAATGTTTTAAAACTAAGTCACGCTCAGTCTCCACCTTCAATGAGCTAAGAATTTAGTATGGGAGGCATAGTTCATTCATAAGGAATCACCTGCAAGAGGAGCAGTGATCTCAGTGCACATGAGGGATCCTGTTGTACTTTGTGTTCAGGAGAGAAAAGCCCTGGGGAAGCTGTCACCGTGAAGGGGAGCCTGACTTCCCTCTGGCCAGGGCAGTACCGTCCTCCAAAAAATATAAGGTTTGCTCAGAGTTAGGTTGATCCTGTCACTCTCATGCCTACAACCTTCAGGGACCACTCTTCACTGTTTTTCAGATACATCAGCCTGTGTCATGGCCTAGATGGCCAAAGTGCTACCTTGTCCGCCTTCTTCACACCTAACCCAGAGTCACTGTCCAATTCCTACTGCACCTCCGTGTTACAGTGGCACTTAATGTGTCTACCTCTCTCTTACACACACACACACACACACACACACACACACACACACAGACCTCACGAAGAGTTTCCATTCATATGGTGTTTACGGAAATTGTGTTTCTCTCCATGCTCTCTACCCAGATAATCCCTGGATTTCCATTTTCTCATCCCTGCTCATGCCACCATCTCTCATTCAAACCATTGCTACCATGGCCCCGCTGCTAACCGTCCCCGATTAGCAGCAGGCAAAGTGTTGTTTATAAAATACCAATCGGATCTGTTTTCACTCCTTTAAAATGCTCCAAAAATAAACCCCAAATTCCTCCCCTTGACCTCAAAAGCACTGCATTCACTGCCTCCCCCTCTCTCTCCAGCCTGCCTCTGTGAATCACTGTGAATCTTCCTCTCTTCCATGCCCTGCCCTCACTATCCTCCTTTTGGTCTCTCCCTCTGATCTCAGGGGCTCTGACACATCCTGCCTGCCTGGAACATTCTTCTCCCACATGTTCTCAGGGCTCTTCTCTTCAAGGAGGTCTCAGCATAAATGCCAACTCCTTATAAGGCCTTATCTAACAGCCAAACCAAGGAGAGAAGGAAGGGACTCTTACCATATGGCATGCTTACTTTTTGTGACACTCCTCGTTATGTGAAGCTACTAATGGCCAATTTGTTTTCTTTGTTTACTGTCTTCCCCTGCATTGCTATATTTCTTAGAGGAGGAAAAACTCTTATCAGTCTTGTTTATCCAGTGCCTAGCATGGTGTTTGGAGCTGGCAGAAATTCCATCACTGCTTTCTGAGTTAATGACCCAATCTTCTTTCTCTTGCTCTTCTTGGTCTTCCTTCACTCATTGTGTTGCTGTGTGATCCTGTTTCATATTCAATGGAACGTGTCCCAGAACCTACAGCTGATGATACAATTGTCACTGAGCTTTTATTGATGAACCACCTTCAAGAAACCTCCAAAGTTAAAAAGGAAAAAAAGTTAATAAATTATGGAAGAATCTTTGGCATAGGGTGGAAATTTTTACAGACTCTGTCATTTTTACCTACCTTCATCTCTCTGAATGACTTGCAATATTTGTTACTTTACTGGTTCATTATCTCCAAGCACCTATTCTTCGATATAATTGGCACTAGCTCCTTAGGTATTGTTGATATCCATATTCCCTCTTGCTTTAAGTCCTTATCCCCCTCCACCCCATGCATCCATCTATTCCTCCTCTTTTATAGGTCCTCCATAATGTCCCTGCACTGGGTATGAGAGGTGACTTCAAAATGGTTTCTAACCTCGGGAAGCTATTCGACTAGACAAGATTGGTATGCAAAGCAGCAGAGCAATGGGTGCCACAGGGTCTGGAACACAAGTATCAGTGGAGAAAATGGGGACCGACAGGAGGGAGCTCTCAGTTTCCATAGGAATGAGGGTATCCAGAAATGCATGGGGAAGAAGTGAACCTAGCGTGATCCTGTAGAGGAGGAAGCATTCCTAGCAAGGAAGCAAGGTCAGGAAAGGTGGAAATAGTCCAGCTTTGTGGGGACAGCCCAGCTCGGGAAGTATAGCATGTGAGGGAAGTAGGTTAAGAGATGAGAGGAAGCTATGAGGTACATGAGGTATGCTCTGGGGGATGTGTGAGTTTTCTCTCTTGGGGAAAAGGACCACTGAAGGTGTTGACTTTCCAGCCAAGGAATCTCAAGAAAGCCACAGTCCAGCGGCCACATGAACGAATGAACTCTCTTTCTTCAAGTCTTTCTGATTGTAATAACTTGCACGAAAGCTAATACTCAGGTTTTTTAAAGACCTGAAAGAAATCTCCTTAGAAACAATAAAAACAAGCCAGTTTGTTGTTCTTTAGTTTGCAATTTCTGAGGTGTTTTTTCTCAGGCTTGTTTCCTCTAGTCCTTGGGGGTTTCACTGAAGCTTAGAATGTGTTCATTACAATGTATAAATGGACAAACCCCAACCCTCACAGCATTTCAAAGATGTTGCCACAACTAATAAATAAGCATCCCAAGGCCTCCTGGGAGATGTTGTGAATGTACAGATTCCTCTTGATGTCCTCAGCCTTGTATTGCTGTTAATGTAAAAAGAAATAGGTAAAGTTGTCACCTTTTTAACCATACCCTTTGGATTTTTTTCTCCGATTATCACATAGAATCATGAAATCAATGAACTGTTTAGCTGAAAGCATGTTCAGCTGCCTGTTTAAAAGCACATTTTGATCTTATTCATCGTAATGGATACTGTGGTCTCCTGTCTGTGGCTGCCCCTTGGGGACAAGCTCTGAGCTGCAGGTTGGCCTAGGAGAAACCAGTGCTCCTGGTAACCCCAGCCATAAGCAACTGACAGAGGAGAGGAAACGTGCCCCATGGAAGTCTCTTGACACCCAACAAATGAAAGCACCTCATGCTTCTATAGTATTTTGATTTCTGCCTTATATGAGAGGAAAAAAGTAAGAGGGGAAAATGTGAAAAGAAATAGTTTTAAAGAACAGAGTATAACCAGGCGTGGCAGTGCATGCCTGTAATCCCAGCAGCTCTGGAGGCTGAGGCAGGAGGAATGTGAGTTCAAAGCCAGCCTCAGCAAAGGCGAGGTTTTAAGCAACTTAGTGAGATGCCATCTATGAATAAAATACAAAATAGGGCTGGGGATATGGTTCAGTGGCCAAGTGCCCCTGAGTTCAATCCCTGGTAACCCTCCTGCGCATGAGCGCGCGCACACACACACACACACACACACACACACACACACACACACTCAAGAGTATTTTAGCCAGAGCAATGGCTACAGGGTCCTTGACACTGGGGAAAACCCAGAGATCTAGAAAACTCACAAAGGTTTTATCTGTAGATAAGACAGTGAAGTGACAAGGGTGGGGTTAAGAGCCAGGAGGAAGTCACTTCTCCCTGTTTTCTGCATGAGAGGCGAGGGCCTGGGCATAATTAGTTCATAGCCTTATTATTTTGCCACAGGTTTGGATGGTAGCTAGAACTCAATGGGTTAAGTAACTTGGCCTAGTCACGTAGCTGTATGGGAGGAAATGAAATGACAATCTGATCCGATCACAAAGCCCATGATCTTTCTAGTACCTGATACTTCTAGAAACATCCTAGTTAATAAGCATGATTTGAATCCGACATGGGACTGAATGAGAAAGGAATGTGAGAGATTCACTGAATTGTATCCTGGTGTTTATTTGTTTGAGTTTTATGCTATTTAAGAAACAGAGACTCTCGGGAGGTGGAGGCAGGAGGATCTCAAGTTCAAGGCCAGTCTCAGCAACTTAGTGAGACCCTCAGCAACTTAGGGAGAGAACTTGTCTCAAAAAAAGTAAAAAGGGATGAGGATAAAGTTCAGTAATAAAGCACCCTGGGGTTCAATCTGCAGTAACAATCAATCAATCAATCAATCAATAAGCAAACAAACAGCTTTATTTGAGTGAGAATTGTAGTGTTATAATCTAAAATGTAAGCTCAGATTTGACTTCAATTTATCAAGTGCTGAGTGAGTTATTATAGGGATAATCACAAAGGCACCTCTTATTTCATCAAAACACAGTGATTCATTCACAAAGCAAACAACCAAACTTTTGTCTTATCATCTTTTGATGACCTATCATAGTTCACCTCAAGTGACTAAAAGAAAATGGCATCTTAAATGCCAAGCTAGTATCCCAGACACAAACCCCAACAGCAAGAGAGGGCTCACATGACTGTCCATCAGCAAGACCTGTGAAGGAGCTGGAATGAGTACCCACATCACACCAGAGTCCAGACACTTGGTGCAGGTCCTGCTTCAATGCCTCACAGTTGCACAATGTTTGTTTTTACCAAAGGAAAACGGACTTAACTGTGTGTGCCTTAGGAAAATGCTTTCCTAAACAGTTTGTTCTTCAGAGAAGAAAACTTGTTACCTGATCAATGTGCTTAAGGAAATGAAAAGCCCTTGATTAGCAGCCAAGGAGCCTCTAATGACATGGCATTTTCCTCTAGGGACGTCAAGTGGTTAATAAAATCTAGTGCTCTCTGGGTAAAGTGCTTACATTTGCTTTGTGCTGTTCTGAGGTGAACTTGGTAAACATCCATACAACATCAAGTGGCCCCAAATGGATGAATTTGCATTTCCATACAGACTAAGGAAAAAAAAAAACTTTATCTATATCACATGCCTGAGTTTTGTAGTTGAAGATAAATTTACCATAGGCATACCCCTAAAATTGTCTTCATAAGTCTTCTGAGAGGGCAGGATGTGTGCTTAATAACCTGAGAACAGTGATCACTCCTCACATCCTAGAGAGAGTGCAGAGTGTTGCACTGAAAAACTGCGCCTCAGATCATGCAAAGCAAATTCTTGGAGAAACTGATCTTATCGGATGATTTAGGTGCAAACAAGTAAACTGATTACTTATGGAATTTGTGTCATGATTTAAATGTATCTATAAATATATAAAGAGATAATTACTTTACAATATCTTCATGTAAATGGGTATATATAAAATGTTTTAAGTCTCAGAAGTCTGTTAAAGCCAGTGGAAAATATTTTAATGTTTTGTGACATTTGAAGGCAAAGATGCATTCATAATCAAGGATTAGCAAATACTCAATAAAATCAATCTCTCTCTCTCTCTCTCTCTCTCTCTCTCTCTCTCTTTTCTTCTCTCTAAGCAGCCTCCCTGTTCCTCTCTTGCTGTCAGAGATTTCCCTAGTAATTCTATAGCAATTTTAAGTTGAACATCTCTCTCATCAAAAACAAAAAAGAAAGAAAGAAAAGAAAATCACTTTGACAGTAGAATCTCTTACTTCTAAATTCAGATTCACAATCAACAGTGTTCTATTTCGTTAAAACACAGTGATTCACTCCCCAAGCTGAATAAATAAGATAATGCCTTGACATCTTTTGACAACCAGACTTAGTTCATCTCAAGTGACTAAAATAAAATGATCTCTGTTAGTCAGCTTTCCATTGCTGTCACAAAATACCAGAGAGAAATCAACTTAACAGAGGAAAGATTTATCTTGGCACAGGGTTTCAGAAGTTTTAGCTCATGATTGGATGGTTGGCCCTCATTGCTTTGGGCTCATGGCAAAACAGGACATCATGGCAGGAACTCATGCTAGAAAAGGTTGTTCACTATGTAGAGGTTAGGAAGCCGAGAGAGAGAAAAGAAGAGGAAGGGGTTCAATATGTTCCTTAAGGGCATACCTCCCCTCCCCCTGGCCTTCCTTCCTTTCTTCCACTAGGTCCCACTCCTGAAGTTCCACCACCTCTCACAGGCTGATGACCTGTGGGGTTTTGGGGGGGACATTTAATATCCAAACCAAGACAATATCTTCACGCCCAAAGTATCCCAGATGTAAATGACAATAGCGAACTGTTCCTGGCCCAGCTGGGACACTTACCATTCCTGAAGCAATCCACTGTGGCTGAGCTTTCAGAAGCACCCTGCTGCTTTTCCATTATAATGACAGTCCCTTGAGAAAGGACAGGCTCACCTCTTCTAAAAAAAAAAGATGACCTTACATAGTTAGGTTTCAAGTCCAATAGGACTCTTGCATCTGGTGGCTAAGCTTAGAAATGAAAGAATATCAACACTCACCTTTTCCCATATTCTCCATGAATTTGTACCTGCCTCCAATGCCCTCCATCTCCTGCATATCTGGTGTCCAGCTACTGCTCACCTTCAGAACTCAGCACAGTCGTATTTCCTCTGGGTTGACTTCTTCAACCACTCTCTTTTCCCTTCCAGAATATCTGATTGTTCATTTTTAAAGAAACATTTGTCGCACTTTTTGGTATAGTAACCTGTTTAAAAACTATAATGGGTGATTCATGTAGTGAGTATCTGTTTCAGAGACTATTCTTAAACGCTTATGTATACCAGATGGTTGATTTCTGTAAGGAACCTAAAAGTAACATTCAAATAACATGTTTGCATTTTCTTTATTCGTCATCTGATGCTTATTGAAAGGCTTACCAAAAGTAAGCACCAAAGACTCCATAGTTTTACCTTCACTGCAGAGAATCCCAAAATAAATTTTCAGTGTTCCTAAATGCCAGCTCTATCAAAAAGAAATGTTCTAGCACGTGCTCCATGATCCATCTTGTAGTATGAGACATGGTTTATGAGTCACATCTTATATAATACCATTTGCAAATATCTAAGAACTTTTACCAATATAATATAGAGAAAGGTATCTTGATACTTTTATCTCGCATTAAAAAATAAGTTTGCCTATTTTCCCCAGAAGTAGAGAGGGTATATACTTCATTCATATGTCCCTCTGATATCCTCCTTTATATATGTCCAAGAAAGAAAGAATTATCCAGCTGCCTTAATATGTCACCATTTAAATAGCTATCCCAAGTAAACCCCGATGCACACATTCAGGGTGTGGTAGTAATACAATATATGGACTAAAATAAGTCAAGATCGTGCCTCAATGAACACCAGGAAAATATTTTCTGGTTTTACACTATGCATTTGGAACAGGATATGTACCTTGTCCTGTAAAATTTCGGAGACATGATTTTATTTCATTTATCTTCAGTTTCTTCCTTTATGAAAAGTCTCATAATGCCTGAATCCCTGGATTATTGTGATGAGCAATATTAATTTATCTGAAATTCCAAGCACATAATTAGTATCATTTTCTCCCCTCGTTCTTCAAGTTGAGGATGGTACTCAAAAGCCAGACTCTGGGTCACCACCCACGTGAACACCTACGGGGAGGAGGTAATTTACATGCAGTATATACACACCTGTCAGTCAGTATGCATATTTGACAGTTCATTTCCACCAGCCTACCCCCCATCATTGTATTTAATGTGTGGTGATCCTCACTATCCCTGAAGAACTCATGGCCCTGTGGCAGGGGCAAATTACCTCCTCCCCATAGGTGTCCTATCTCCTACCAGATCAGATAGGACATAGCTTCTTAAAGTGTCTATTTGCTTGATGGTAAATAAAGAACTGCTTTATATTAACCTGAATGAACAAGAAGGGAAACCACAGAGACATTATGTGCTAGTGGGAGGTGCTTCTAATTCTACCCAGCCATCCAGGTCTTGAGTCCCATAGTCTCTGCAGACCATCAGAGAGAGCAGCAAGCAGGTGGTACACAGAGGTGGAACACTGATGGCACATGTGTCCCATCTGAAATATATAACTCGAACATAGAAATCTGTTTCTCTTTTTAAGATGCTTCCCACTTTTAAGGAAATTTCTAAAAAGCTACATCTATATTAAAACCAGGGACCATGACACTATAAAACAACCAGATGACCTGAGTTTTCTAGAACAGACCCAAATTAAAAGGTTCATGGCTATTTTTTCCGTGAATGTGGTAATATTTCTTAGACGATGTGCTTCATTTTTTTTGGTCTTGGAAACTACAGTCGCCTTAACTATACCTGTAAAAGACAGATCTAATCTTCAACTATAGAGAATTGTTATCTAACTCCTCAGATACCACTCTGGAACCAACAGTTGATCATGAGATTGTTGAAACTATGGGACAGCGTTGCAAAAACGTTAGTTCTTAACCTATTTTCTGTCCCAACTTGCCTAACTGATAGCATGTAGTGGTTACTCAGAGACCTTAGAAGAAGGTACATCAGAATACAAAAAATAGGAGCATAATTCATAGTTTTTTTTTAAAAAAAAGTACCCTAGGCATCTTAATTAGGGATTTGTAGCACTGAGTTTATGGTTTTGGCTATTATGCTAAATTTACTAAAAGCTTTGGAATTATAATATGCTGAAAGTATTTGTTCGTTCAGCAATTATCTCCTGATATTGGGCCAGGTTCTCTATTATGAGAGGGTCTTTGTTATAGCCATGAAGTTTTTCTCTACAGGATGACATGTTTAAAAAGAAAATAAAAGTAAGCATAGATCATGAAGATCCCATAAGGATAATTTGTACGTTATGTATTTGTAATCCCCTGCTTATTTATTGCTCATGGGAATGAACAGGCTCTCTCATAAAAAATGATCACAAAAAAAATCCACATTCTATTTGTACTCATATTATTTTATGAAAGGAATGGGGAAAAAGAACAATTTTTAAAACATCTGTTGTTAAGTAAAATTGTATATAGCAAATCATGGTCTTTATGGGAGTTTAGGGTGAATTTCTTCACTTCTGATAAAATACAGGCTCTCTGAGTTGAGCAACAATAATGTTAGAAGCAAAACATGCAAAAGATAAGCTGCTTATCTTCTTACCTCTCAACAGGTTTTGACTAGTGCTCCATATAAGCTAGGGTTCTTGAGAGACCCAGAACACACACGTAAGATGTTTATTATAGAAGTCAGCTCGTGTGATCATGGAAGCCGTAAATCCCACGATCTGCTATTCGCAAGCAGGAGGCCTAGGAAAGTCAGTGGTGTGTGTGTCAGCCCAAGTCTGAAGATTCAAGAACTCGGAACACTAATGTTCAAGAGCAGAGGACAGATGTCCCGACTCAAAACAGAAAGTAAATTCACCCTTCCTCTGCCTCTTTGTTCTATTGGGACAGATTGGATGATGCCCTCTTTGATTGGTAAAGGCAGTAGATTCAAATGCTAATCTCTCCTGGAAACGACCTCAATGACACACCCAGAAATAATATCTTCCAATCATCTGGGGCCCCTTAGCCCAAACTGACTCCTAAAATTAACCACCATACACTCTAAGTAAATCCTGATCCCACTTGAGAAAATTTGTGCTGGTAAAGCAAATGTGTCATAAAGCTAATCTTCTTTATGGCTGAGTAATATTACATTGTGTATTTATACCATATCCATTCATCTGTTGATGGGCATCTAGGTTAGTTCTAAAGCTTAGCTATTGTGAATTGTGCTGCTATAAACATTAATGTGACTGTGTCACTGTGGTTTGCTGATTTTAAATCCTTTGGATATATTATAAGGAGTGGGATAACTGGGTCAAATAGTGCTTCCATTCCTAGCTTTTTGAGGAATCTTCATACTGGATCTGGAGACTATCATGCGAAGTGAAATAACCCAATCCAAAAAAAAAAAAAAAAAAAAAAAAAAAGGTCAAATGTTTTTGCTGATGTTTGGGAGTTAAACCACAACAAGCAGGGTAGGGGAGGAAGAAGAGAAGTTCAGTGGATTAGACAAAGGGGAATGAAAGGAAGGAAGGGGGAATAGGAATAAGAAAGACAGCAGAATAAAGCTAACATAATCTTCCTATGTACACATATGAAAATACCTAAGTGAATCCCACCATCCTGCCCACCCACAAGAATGGGATCCTAAATAGAATGAGATATATCTCATGCTTGTATAATTTTATCAAAATGGATTCTACTGTCATGTATAACTAAGAAGAATTGATAAAATAAAAATTTTAAAAAAATATGATACAGAGAGCTCTATAATTTTCCATAGACAATTGGTGAAGTTTATTTTGTTGCTCAACTGACAGAAGACAAATTGTTTTTTGTTGCTGTTGTTTTGTTTTTAATATTGCTCCTAAGTCATGAAGGGTTTTTTGGATATTTTTTTGTTTGTTTGTTTTGTTTTGGTTTTAATTTTCCAGAACATAGCTATCGTTTGGAGTTAAAATTTCCTAAGGCCAATGATGCCACGGTATCAAGCTACACACTGTCATTTGCTTAAGTTTTCTCTAACAAATATGAAGAACAATCCTCTCCCTCTAAGGACTCTCTTGTAAAGTTATTAGACACTTGACATGCAGGATCAGCTTTTGAAGCAAAATCTTAGCTTTCTGTTAATATCTTGGCATCTCTCAAGAATGCTTTGAGAACTCATGGCATGTGAATGGTTCAGGGAATTATCTTTTTCCCAACTCAGTCATTACCAACTGTACATCCCACATGAAAGCCATGTTTAGCATTTCTTCATATTTTAAGAGGAAATGGTGACTCACGCCTGAGAGGCATAAAGAGAAGAAAGGTCTCACAGGCATCTTCAAATCAGCTTCGCCTTTTCCCTACATTTATGCCATGAAAGAGCTTTATTTCATAACAGGCCAGAGACCAAGTCTAAATTAGTATCTACCCAGTCTTGAAGAATTGAAGGCTTATGCAATTGTAGAAGTCACCAGGGTGGGTGTGGACGAAAAAGCAAGGCAGAAACCCTGGTAGCATTTAAAGCAGTTTGTCTTCTGGATCCCAGTTGTTCTTGTAATTTTAACAACCATATGCTTGTCTTCTGTTCTCTGGCAGACTAGATCTGCTCTTTATTTCTTTTTTAGTCTCAATAGAAATTAAGTGGTTTGGCCATCGACATTCCTGCCTCCTTCTTTCTGTCTCCTGTGAAGAGGACCAGATGGAATAAAGCCTTTCATAGTTACACATTCATTGGAATTGAAATAATAAGCTGCTAATTCCCCATTTTTACAGGCAAAGACCCAGGCCTGCCCCCGTGAAAGCCTGGCATGATGGTTTCAGTCCTTTTCTACAATGAGTGGTAAAGCATCAGACTGCATCTAAAAGAGTAATTGCAGAGACAGGAGAGGGTGTCATCAGGAGCAAGAATTGTAGAGCCTATGAATGAGGAAATTGTCTTGTACTGCACTGGAGTGGATTATTTTATAATAGAATCTCAAATAAATATATTTGAAGGAAAGAGACAAGTGACAATCCAACCCAACCCGTTTGAGCAGTTGATTCAGTCACTTCAAATCCATGAATCCTTTCCTTGTCAACTGAACGGAAGTAATGAAGAAAGACTGTTCCATTAAGAGAAATTCTAGTTGGAAATACAATGGGCTAAATCTTAAAAAAAAAATCTCAAGCCAGAATTCACAGAGGTCTTGATGAAGCTCCAAGAGATCCGCTATATAGTGTGTGTTCTCTGGAATGGAAACAGAATCAACAGGGGTGTGCCAAAATGCAAGGACCTTTAATGGACCCTGAGTAGGAAGGAGATGCTCTGTTAATCTGAAATATTAATCTAATAATCTTACTGGGCAGTAGTACTTGTTTTATTAAGGGTCAGCCATTCAAGAGGTGGTTCCAATATTACCCTCATGATCAAAGAGCATTGTTTAAAACCAAACAAACCTTCTCCAAACCAGCT